TGCCAACTGCCTTTGAGGCACATCGAGAGAATCTGAAAAACGTTTGCTAAGTCAGGTACTTCATCTCTCTCAATACCACTTTCACCACGATCATCCTCATTTCACGTCCATTGGAGGAGGGGGAGGACAACATTTTGTGCAGAAGCTATCAGGAAATCGTAACTGGCTTCGGAAAAAAGTTTTCCAACTGTAGGCTTTTTTCTTTCCCACCAGTTTCATGTCACTGTGTCCCCGGGTTTTAGTTGTCTGCGCAGTGGAAACCATATCGGTTTTCCACGGTCGATCGGAAGGGTCCGTCCTCCCGCAATCGCTAGACAGTTACATTTTGAGAAAAGCTGGAAGATGGAAACTGGTAGGAATGAAAGTGAACTGTGAGAAGGTTCATGCCGAAGTAGGATTTAAGGAGATGCCATCATTCTAAACCTTCTCATGTAGTGGTGGGGGTAGTAACGTAGGGATAGTGAAAGCTTTGGTCAACCCAGAAACAGTAAAGAGACTTAGAATTATATTGGTGTAAAAATCGGAGAATCTTCAATAAATATAGAATTTTTCGTGGCGAATGTGATCCTCTTCACTGACCATGAGTGAGATTGCCCATAGGCACATTGGCGGCGTTGACTGTTCCTTTGATCAAGATTTCATGGAAAGTAGCCCCTCGAATTCAACTCCGTGGTAGACAATCAGGATACTACCTCGGGGTGGTGATCATCCCTTTCCAAAATGTTCCTTTTACCATTTCGTTTCCAATTCCTACTTTTTTTAATCGTTGGAGCTGCAGTAATAACATTAGTTAGCAACTACGTAGTTGCCAACTCGAAGCTTTTTCAAGTGACTAAAGTTCAAAGTGCTTCTTGCTGCGAAACACAAAGTGCAATATGGCTAGGAAGGGTCAGAATCATAATAGGTGGAGAATTCCTGTAAGAGTGAATTATTGGGTACAATTTTTGAAAAAGCTCCATTTTCTCCAGCGTTCATGTAACAACGCTATTTTGCTATTTTCATGCTTTATTACGGTAGATGGTCTCAGATGGCTTACATTAGGTTGACTGAAACGTTCTAGGAATTTTCAAAAGTCTCGAATCTATACAAGGTTTAACAATAGACACAAAAAGAAACTGTTCATCAAAGGGCCACTATTGTCTACGACTTTCCATTTCCAATAATTCACTGAAATCGCTATGATCAACGGGCGTTTTGCACTCGAAAGTAGTAAAGATAGATATATGCAAAATGCAAGACTAGAAAATTGACAGCGCATACGTAGTTAGAAGGGATGAGGGGAAAAGGAGGGAGGGGGGTTGAGTAGAACAGCCTTCCGATCCTTCCCCTTACCTGGACACAGAGCTCCTAGAAAGATAATCTCGCAAAAAGGACAGCCTTTTTAAAGACTGAGCCGGAAATCGCCATACGTGTGTACTGCGGATCGAACGGCGAAAAGTGCTGTGTAACTCAATAAGGGAGAAAAGAGCAGACATCCAATCAGAACCGCTCTGAATAAGGCACCTATTGGCTCTAGGCATTGAGGAATGTGCGGCAAAGAGATACTGAGCCTGTAGAAGAGAAACAATTTATGGTGTGTTCAGACCCTACAGCTATGCAGAGGTGGTGGAGTGATATGATGATGGAGGTCACAAACAAGTAGGCGTAGACCTTGAAGCGTGGCATAGCTCTGACGTTCTCATCAAGCAGTTTCGTTTGAAAGAAGAACATCCTGTGGTTGCGGACCCCGTCACCTGGGTCAAGGAAGGGTTCTGCTCATCAGTTTATAGCACAAGCTGTCGGTAAACCCAGTCGCTGGCTAGGGACAAGAACGCAAAGGGTGCTGCCTATCTCCCTTCCCACCATCCCTTTCTCCTCAAACGTAAGTGGAGAGCTTCATGCTGAAAAAAAACTCATGCACTTTTACTTCTTTACAGAGTGCTTCTTCCTACGGTGCTCTGCGATGCGCTTGTGTCAGCAGTGGATGTATCTGGAGCGCTGTTCTTCGGTCTCGAACACGTGTTCCAAGTGTCAAGATGTACTGAAGATCACTATATTTCTGCATTTTATGGATTCACTTCGGTTGGTGCTTCACATTTTAATATCTCATCTTTTGCTTCAGACCGGGCACTCTTAGACTCATTTCCGTCATTAACATTAGCCTTTCAATCAGGCACATTACGCTGAAACTTCTTAAGGGCAAGCCTATAGCGTTGCAGTAATGGAGAAGTCAAGCCCTAGAGAAGTGCCCTTCTGCATGACACGCTCCTCTCCACTCTTCACGAGCTTCGGTGACATTGTCACCTGGCACCTCGTGACGAAAGTTAGCTCTTTCATGATACGCTCACTCATCATATGTTAGGTTTATGTTTATTCACGTCTGCGTAAGTGCAACTTGAGAGAAACAAAAGCACATCAAGAAGAAACTTTCTGGGACAGACGACAACGATATATCAACTAGGAAAATGCGCTCACTCAGTATATCAAGAAGATATCAAACTAATCAAAGTGAAATGATGCGACTAGAGCTGGCAGTCGATCCGAGACTACTTCACTAGTTGCGTGAAGTTCACGGAAAATCTGAAGCGCAATCTCAAAACAACGATGTTCCGTGACTAAGGTAGCCGTGAGGGGGGGGGGCTACAATACCTCTTAAGCTGTCGCCCCACAGTATTGGAATGGCAAATTCTTGTGGTGGACCGCTCCGTACTATATGCGTGGCCCAGCGGACTCTTGAAGGAAGCTAGGGGCTCTCACCCTGGTCTGGGCAAGCTAAGAGTTTGCTTTCCCAACTCCGGTCCGTGTTGCTGGATTTAACAAACTGCTCGCACTTCACACACTTCCTTTCCTGCCGTGTCCATTCTACAAGGGAATGTTTTTTGAACTTGTCCATGTTAGAACTCTCACCGGGAAGTTACGGTAACATAAGATTAGAGGCCTCGATGCTGATTACGCAATATTGCAGATTAAGTGCTATGAGGGGATTCCGGACGAGATCTGAGTGGTCAATTTTGAGTCTGGGCCCGTAATCGTTGTGATCGGATGCCTCGTGCCAGTGCACCTTGTCTGGTAATGGTCATCGCTTTCAAGTTCAACGCATGCGGTTTGCTCCGTTGACGCAAAATTTTTTGCTTGACCCTACATAGACGCTTCACTCTAAGTCGGTTCGAAATTGTTCCCGAATCGGCCCAAGCAAGGCAAGATAGATCAACCAACATCTAGTATGACGACGTTACTCGATCTAGTATGTTGGTCATAACTGCCCTCTCTGAACAGGTTAGCCATCCGACAATTCAAAGTTTTAGCGAGAAATTCGTTCATGGGAGATTTCGACCCCTGAACACGAATATCACATCCTTCGACGAAAAAACGCTCGTCTGGCCAAATTGCGATTCTGGGCAAATTTGAATTGCTCGGCCCTATGCGGTAAATATGTCAGACGAGGGAAGGATATGACCGATTCACATGGCTAGGATTGTCAGTTGTGCGGCGCGTCTTAACTTTGATCACGATTGATCAACTTGCCCTGCTGGGCCATAAAATTCCTGGAGATCGAGAATTTACGATAAATATTAGAGTTTGAAGCTCTCTCACGGAGCGAAGCAGAAGTTTTCGCGGCAACCGGACGCACACCGCGTGGCGGCTTTGACGTGAAACACGCAGACGGTTCACGGCGCCACGTCCGGCACGCATGCTCGGAAGGATCATCTCGCATCAGCAGCGCTTACGAGCCGGAATCAACTTGTGCTCACTCCAGAGTTCATGTCTGGGAACGGCTGCCGTCAGCACTTCTAGTCGCACGCATATTCGTCGTAATAACATTCGAAGGCTCTATCATGTTACCTACGAGTTCGTCCTCAAGTCCATGGGAAACCGTTCCTGTAAGCCAGTATCATAATAGACCATGGGCCACCCAGACCGACGATACACCTAAGTTAGGTTTTCAAGCCACAGTTAGATCGTAGATAACAACAGCAAAAACATCACTTACTTGTCAGCCTAAACAGAGTTTATTAATCGAGGTTCTCGAGATTGATGCGACATCGCACATAGACATTGTGAAAGTACACCACTCGAGACCGGAGAGGAAACATCAGTTTCCCGGACCGGCCTCGCGTCGCCTATCACATGTGTAGGTGAGTGGGGAGGGCCCCCTGGCACCAAGGCACTACCCACCGGAGTGGAGCTAGATGCATCCGCTGGGGAGTGCCTCCGTTCCATGCGCCTACGTTCCCTTTCCTCCCTAGTGAGGGATTCCCTTAGGAAAATCCCTCGCTCGGGGAAATACCGGAGGCGGGGAGCTCTCCTCAAGATCACACGCTGGAAAGACCGAGACGGGAGTACTACTTTGATGAGCCTACTCTTCCCCGTCATTGGTCTACCCATCCTATACACTGTAATCGGGTTACATTCCACGCCAAGAAAATCGATGATATTACACACAGAATGGAAATCATACAATACTCGTTCTTTTACATTCGTTGCACGAGATTCAGGAATACACTTATAACTATTGATCTCAATCTTTCAAATTCTTCATAGGATGCATTGGATTCAGAGCTAACAGTGTGACTTTTAACAGCGTGATTTGGAGAAGAACCGTTATGAGTATCAACATGAGAGGGCACATGCGCTGAATCTGGCGAGCTCCTATCACGGAGACCCTCAATCTCCAACTTGAGGTTACTATTTTCAGACCGGAGAGCCGTTATCTCAGCCATCATAGCCATCAATACTTTCTTGACTGGGTCGGAAACACGCCTAGATTTAGATAGATCTGCTATCGTTGACTGGAGATCCACCCAGCTGGAGGAGTCACATCCATTACGCATAGAGTTATTGACGTCCATTGCGAGATCGTAGAGTGGAAGTTAATACGGAGAGAGATCAGTCAAAATAATATGCAACAAAAGTGTAATGGAAGAATGTACCTGTACAGGTGGCAAAGCAATATTGTAAAAATGACTTAGCCCAGTTGCCACCCCAAGCTGTGCGTTGATAGGTAATAGACAGAGATAGATATGTCCGCACAACAAATCGTAAGTGACCAATGCGATGAAAAAAATTGATAGAATTGATTGACGGCGGCCTCACAGCGACAAAACTCCGAGAACAATAAAGTGAGACAAGACAGAATACCTGGGTAAGTGGCAAGTTTCTTCTGAGATAATGCTTAGTTGCCACCCTAAGCGACGCCGTGGAATCAATTCTA